ACGCCCCCATTCCAAAATCTGCTGGGAAATGTCCTTCGATGACGAGCCTCGCTCGGAAATTCCGAAGGCCAGGGGGGACAAGGAGCTCAACGGGTACGAGGGCGGTGGGCAGGTTTGTGTTCCGATTGCTGATCAACCCGAAGTCCCTATCGACCTCGCGGATGGTGAGCATGAGCATGATGAGGAGTCGATTTCGTCGGAGGAGAACTTTTCTCGCAGATCGACACCGAGACCACTCGCTTGCCGTGACGCTCGCCAACCACACGGCCCCCTACGCAGGCACCCCTTACGTATGGCGACGCAGCCGCGATTCCATTTGATAGTTCTTTGGACCGAGGCTTGGAGGATATCATGGAAGATCAACCCGTGGGCGGCCTTGTCAGGGCAGCTAGCAAGCAAGGACGTGAGACGGCTAGCCTTTCTGGGTTATCGCCGCTCGGCAAGCGGGGCACATCCGACGGCATTCCCGAGTACGGTCCTGTGCCCGCTCCAGGGGGTGAGGGCCCGGGAGCTATGCACCAGGATATCCGCCGCGTCCCTCCCAGACGAGCCATCGACCGTCGACTTCGATGTCCGAGACGCCTGACCCGCGGACCCGTTCTCCCCGCAAAAGGGGCGCCGAGAACGGCAGACCCAGACCCCAAGGCCGCGTTCGGAGGCGCCCGACTTGTCCAGTTTATCCGGTAGGTCGATTGCATTCAGCACGCACCAATGCCAACTGTGCCAACTACAAACCGAGATGCGCCATAGTTCCTGAATCCCGATGTGCTCGTTCGTCGGGACAGCGCAAGAAGCCTGTCTGTCCCGAGCGTTCGGATATCTGCGATCTCTGCGATTTGATATTCTAAGGTCCGGCTTGCTCCGCCCCAAATGCGCATGGCTGCGCAAGTTTACGCGTGTACGAATGGCGAGAAGCTGGGGGAAGGAAAAGGTATGCGATCACGGGGGCCAGGGCGAGAGACCTTGCTGAGATACGCGAGCAATTACAACAGTCGGACCTGCAACAAGAAGCGGTCGCCACCCTTCAGTTCAAGCGAGACCAGGAGGCAATGGCGAGTGCCGTGCGGTTCCCGGAGGAGCGCCAGCAGGCGGTGGCGGCCGAGCAGGCCTCTGCAGCGACGACGGAAACGAGGGAGCTCGCCAACAGGCTGCCCCCCGCCAGCTGCGTTGGACGAGTGCTCCTGCTCACGAGGCTACGCCGACAATGGCCCAGCACGGGGAATATAACAGGCAGGCTCGTGGGCCCAGGTGGCGTCCGCAATATGTGGATCGTTCGCATCTCGCCAGAGCGTCCGTCATCAAGAGGGCAGGTTGCGGTCTCGACTTCAGGATATCCTACAGCCGCGCCCCGACCCACCCGGCGCGCATATTTGTCAGGTAAGTCGGACAGCCCACGGGCGAATCAGCCGTTACGTGTATGTGGAGATGGTGGCGGAAACCGTGGATGGTATGAGACGAGCAAGTGGGACCGTGACAGGCGGGACCTCGATAGTGCAAGCCGTTGTTAACGCGGGCGCGAGCTGAGGCCACACCTTTACCTAAGTCGCTATCATTATCTGTTCCCCTCGCCTTTCGGGCGGCCGCGGAGCTTTGAATAGAAGCACATGAGCTTCCGCGCCGTCAGGAGTTCCCACACGATCTACATTCCGAAACTCCACTTGAACACCATCTGACTCTCGGGTCGGACGCGGCCGCCCCGCTCCCGAAGGGAACGGAGCGTCTTCTTCCGTCTCCCCCACTCCTGAAAAATTGTGCGCCGTCTTTTGTTCCCGACCATCCTGTGGTGTTGGTTTCTCCTCCTCTTTACCCCTCCTCCCTCCTCCCATCCCCTGCCTCTCCTCTCCGCGTGCCGTCCTCACCATCATTATCGTGATCTTCATTGTGATCACTGTGATCACCATCGCCATCATCGGCGTCATTCACATCGCCACCGTCAGCGTCGTGACTTTGTTCTCCGCGTGTCCATGTCGGCACACGCAAAGCACGGTCCGTGGCCCCACAGGGAGCCCCACCGAAGGCCCCAGTGGCAGGGTCCGCATGCGTTCCCCCGCCCACTTTGGCACACCCCTCACACGGTTCGTGGCCCCATAGGGAGCTCCACCGAAGGCCCCAGTGGCAAGGTCCGCATGCGTTCCCCCGCCCATTTCGGCATACCCCTCACGAGGATCGTGGCCCCATTGGGAGTTCCACCGAAGGCCCCAGTGGCAGGGTCCGCATGCGTCCCCCCGCCCATTTCGGCACACCCCTCACGAGGATCGTGGCCCCACTGGGGAGTTCCACCGAAGGCCCCAGCGGCAGGGTGCGCATGCGTCCCCCCGCCTCCTTTTTTAGCACACCCCTCACACGGTTCGTGGCCCACTGGGGAGTTCCACCGAAGGCCCCAGCGGCAGGGTCCGCATGCGACCTCCCGCCCATTTCGGCACACCCCTCACGAGGATCGTGGCCCCATTAGGAGCTCCACCGAAGGCCCCAGTGGCAGGGTCAGGGTCCGCATGCGACCCCCCGCCCATTTTGGCACACCCCACGCGCAGTATGGGGAGGCTCGACGTGGGAGGTGCAACCGCAGCCGCCCAGGCGAGTCCCGTCAATAAGGACAGCTGCGCGAAACATCCGCGGCTCCGCCTGCAAAGCGCTGGAGCCGATGGGGCCCGCAGATCGTGTTACTAATCCTAACGGGTCATCCTAATGCCTGTAACTGTCGTTCCTTCAGGCTTGATTATGGGGGAAGTATCAGGCGGGAGCCTGGTCCGTGAGTGAATTGCGAGGAAGTCCTTGTAACTCGCTTCACTTTCGGGCCGCTGAGGTCTGAATACAGGGGAAGTATGAGGCGAGAGCCTCTCCTGTGAGTGAATTGCGGGTCGCCTCGTCCGAGCTAGTCGCCGTAATATTTGTTACTGTCATGGGCCCGCGTGCCCGAAAGGGCGACTCAGGAGCTGACGACGACGACGACGACGATGAGACAGCGGCCGGGCGCAGGGGTAACCTCATGTGTCCGGGCCGGGGGTGGTAACCCATCCTCCGCCGAATCGGGGGCAGGGGTGACCCCTTGTCTCCCGGCCGCCTGTGGTAACCCATCGGCGGCCGAATCGGGCGCAGGGGTAGCCCCTTGCGTCCGAGCTGGGGGTGGTAACCCATCCTCGGTTCAATCGGGGGCTGGGGTAAGGAAACCAAGAAAAAGCTGGAAACCCAGAGAGAGAGAGAGAGAGAGAGAGAGAATACCCACGCAACGGAAATAGGGAGAGAGGGACGAGAGAGAGAGAGAGACGGGAAGAAAATGGAGACAATGTGGTGGAGCAGGGGGCTCGCCTTGTTTCAGGCCCGGCAGGCTTGCGCGCGACAGGGGCAGAGAGAGAGAGAGAGTGAGAGAAGGATGATAGCGGGAAGAACAGGAGACAGTGGCGGCGCAGGGGGCGCGCGTCATTTCAGGCCAGGCGGGCAAACGCGCGATGAAACAGAGAGAGAGAGAGAGAAATGAAGGCGGGAAGAATATGGAGACAAAATGGCGGCGCAGGGGGCTCGCCTCATCTCAGGCCAGGCACGCAAGCGTGCCGCGGAAGGTGGCGTAGAGGCTCGCCTTGTTTCAGGCCCTGCAAGCTTGTGCGCAACAGGGGGCAGAGAGACAGAGGGGGAGAAGAATGAAGGCGGGAAGAAAAAGGAAACAAAGTGGCCGCGCAGGGGGCTCGCATCATTTCAGGCCAGGCAAGCAAACGCACGACGAAAACAGAAACAGAGGGAGAGAGAGAGGAGAATGAGCTGGGGAGAACATGGAGGCAAAACCTCCGCGCACGGGGCTTGGGCCACCGCGGGCTATGTGGTTAGGACGGCAGCACGCTGCGGAAACAGGGGGAGATGAGAATGAGACGGGAAGACTATGGGGACACAACGGCGCACGGGGTTCAGGCCAGAGCAAGAAACCAAGAATGCCAACGCAACGGAAACAGGGAGAGAGGAGACTGAGTTGGAAAACATTGGATACAAATCGGCCGTGCACGGGGCTCAGACTAAAGCGAGAAAACAAGAATGCAACGCGCAACGGAAACAGGGAGAGAGAGGCGACTCAGCTGGGAGGAACATGGAGACAGAACGGCTGCGCAAGGGGCTCGGGCCAAATCAAAAAAGCACGTGCAACACGCAACGAAAACACAGAGAGAAGAGAGTACGCTGGGAAGATAAAGGAGACACAACGGCCGCGCACGGGGCTTCGGCCACCGCGGGCCCCCCTCCTCCGTCTCCTCTCCTTCGCGGCACTCGCCGCTGCATATGCAAGGGCTCCCTCGAGGGCGCGAAGTTATTCGCGCTTCGCGCTTCGCGGTCCTCGTTTCTCCTCCCCCTCCTCCTCGTCCTCCTCTTCTCCCTTTGGGAGGGCGGCGCGAGAGCGCGAAGTTATTCGCGCTTCGCGCTTCGCGGAGCGCGAAGCGCGAAGTTGGGAGCCCTAGCATATGGTTGGGTCCTTCGTCAGGCTAAGTTTGTCGGTGTCTTGCTTTTGCCCCTTTGTTTCCTTGGGTGGGGTCCCGGGGTGAACTCGTTCCTAAGAGTGCCCTGTCAGGAGTTCTTATGCGGCGGGTGTGTTTTACCCTTCGACTTCGCCGCACGTGTTTATTGCAGCAATAACCCCGCTGGGCTTCGGTGGCCCTCGGATCCCTTCTGGGCCTCCCCCGCTCATTCTCTTGTCTTCCCTCTCCCGTCTTCCCGAGGATCGAGGATGAGGCTTAGGTTTATGTTTTCGACCGCCCACAGCATTTTCGGGCTGCGAGCGGCGTCATGAGAAATGGGCGGGGCCGTGAGCGCGCGGCGCGCCTTCTCCTTATCTCCTGCGTCGTCTGGACGTCTACTGCTAGCGGTTACTCTACAATTAACTTCACGGGATCTCGCCGCCGTCACAGACGAACCGAGGTCCATTCTATAAAAGGGTGTTTGGCGATGCGGCTGTTCTGGTTCCAGCTGCACGAGGAGGAGCGGAAGGGGGAGGGGGAGGAGGAGGAGGAGGAGGAGGAGGCGGAGGAGGAGGAGGAGGGATAGTAGGATGACTGCGAGCTCGGCGGCGGCGGCGGCTGCGCCCCCGCAGGCCCCGTGCCGCAGGGCCCGCAGGCCATGCGCGGCCCGCCTGGCGCCCCGAGGCCCCCAGCTCCTTGGCGCCCGGTCGGCGTGCAGAACGCGCCCTGGAGGGCGCCGCTCGCCGCGGGCCGCCCAGGCTTACTGGGAGGCGTACCCTGGGATCCTGGCGTCGCAATTTTTCCGAGCCGGGCGTTTTGGTCCGCTTTCGGGCCCCGGGACTCCTGCAGGACGATCCGGCTCGAAGAGCAGCGCAGACATATGGGGTCCAGGGCCCCAGGCGTGATCTTCGATGATGTTTCAATTTTTTCGCGACATCGGATCTCACGAAGTATGCGGGGGCACCCGATCAGGAATGTGCCTGGGAATCTGGGCTGGGAGTCTGAAGTGGCCCAGCATTGGTTCCGGCCAGTCAGAGGGGGGGGGAGTTCAAGGTGTTGGGTTCGCGGAGGAGTGTCAAAAACTGGTCTTGGGTGAAAATTGCACCACGTGGACCCCAGGAGGAGTTCGGGTACCGATGTTGGCCGGATTGATTCGTTCTTATCCCCCCGTTTGCCCTAGTGTGTCTCGGGGCCCGGCTGGCTCAGACCCCGCGGCCCCATCAAGTTGGACTGGTCGTATGTCATGTGGCGCCACCGGCCCGCTTACCACACGCGAGCCCCACATGCGCGCAAAAGGGTCCCTCGCAGAGGGGGATCGCCTCACAGGCATAGCGTGTTTTCCGGTATCCTATGTTGCACGCTATCTTTCCAACGCCAGCCGTGTCTATCCCCAGCTTCGGTGGCGCGCCAAGGAGGGGGGGGGGGAGGCAGAGGAGGCGGGTCTTCTGAGAAGACTCCGAAGGCCTCCCCCGAGATCCGGGCGTGGCAGTGTTTCTGCACCGGGCGCGCTCATTCGCCCAGATTCGGGCCCCGGGGCCATCACCGATCGATCCAGTTCGGAAAATGCGTCCATGGGAGGATGGGCCATTGGGTGGAGCTCCATCCAGATCGATCCAGCACAGTTCGATCCAGTTCGATAGGGAGCACCATCCAGATGGATCCAGATTCGGTCCGGGGCTCGTGTCGTGATTCCTGTGCGATGCTGCATTTCTTTGGCGCGACGTCGGAGCTCAGGGGCAGGGCGAGTCTGGCCTGCTCAAGAGGCTCAGAAAGACTCTGGCCTTCTGAAAAGCTGTCTTAACCCTCTCCGGAAACACCGAGCATCTCAGAAGGCCAGGGGGCGACTGTGTAATTAGCGCCCTCCCATTATTTCAGGACGAGGGGCGATTCAGTCCAGCTCCTCGGTGCAGCTGGGCCAGCTCAGCCCTGCTGGGTCGGCTCGGCCCAGATCTACCCAGCTCGGCGCAACCTGGTCAAGATCGGCTGAGCCCAGCCTAGCTCGATGATCTTAGCACGTGGCACGTGTATTAGACCAACTTGTGTTTACTCCGTTCGCCTCCACCGGTAGCACGCGGCTTGTGCCAGCCTTTTTAACGCAGCTTGCGTTGTATTGAAGGGCTTCGGTGGGTGATCACACGTGGGCGCGACTACACGTTCTGAGGATCATCGACCAGCTCAGCCCAACTCGCTTTGAATCGGCCGTGAATGCGCAGTCGGCAGGGCGACTGCCCGTGCTCAGGGGCGCTGGGCTCGGATTCCTCCTCTGGGATGCAGCGGGGAAGTCAGAGCGGGCGTTGATTCTAAGTTCTCGTCATCAGTCATGTTCCGAGCGCCACCGGCTTCGTTTATCCCCGAGGCAGTGCAGGTCCAACGACTGACCCAGCACGCGGAGGCGAGCATCTGTCGCATGTGGATTCGGAAGGGCGGCCCTATAATTTGAATCAGATCGTGGTCAATTTCGCAAACGTGGGTGCGTATTTCGCGAAGACCGTCCTGAAGAGGGACAACCGGCGAGGCGACAGACTCTTCGATTGGGAGGGGGTGCGGAGGTGTGTGAAGCATCTGAGTGATGAGAGGAGCTTGAAAGTAGTGGGAGTTGTCTACCAAAATATTGATGGCCCAGACAACGGTGTAAAGGTCTGGGACACCCCCCACGACATCAAGCAGATGTGCCAGAGCATCCAGCAGACCCCACGGCTGACCGGCAAGAACCAGAGGAGCGCGGACGATGAGCAGACCATCAAGTGTGCTTACAGGAGAAATTGCCGTTTCATGGACAATGACAATTACCGGGAATGGTTGGTGGAGATGCGAGATGAGAAATGTCGGAATTGGCTTGTGGAGAAGCAGGAGATGTTGCAGACGCGATATTTCTTCGACAGCGAGCTTGGTACTTTTGACACCCTCGACGGCAACATCCCGATGGCCCTCCTGGACAGAAACAATGTGAATAGCATGAAGATGCCTATTCCTGCGCACCTGGTCGGCAAGTGTTAGCCCGAGGGATTGGACGCCAGCACCGGACTCGGAAGCCACTGGCGGTGGTTCGGGCTCCCCCCCAGACATGATTCGACCAAGCGATTAAGAAATGCCCGGTGGGTCGCATGGCCCCATCGAGAAGTGGACGCATAAAATTTGATTCCCGGTTCGTCGTTATCGTCGTCGCCGTCGAGGCCGCCAGGCCGCAGCCAGCGGCCCAGACAAAACGAATGTGTTGTTCATTGTCTTTGTCCGATTTGTTTTTGATTGTTTGGTCGCATTGCCTCGCCATGTTTTCCCACGACGCGTGCACCGCAGCTCCCGACCCCACAGGGTCTACTTCGCCCCAATCAATTCGACTCGATATCGACGGTGCCCTGCTCGACACGATCCCACTCCGACATTCCGACGATCCGTTGCGGGCCGATGTCTCTGCATGGCGTTGATATGCACCCTGGCGCAGCCGATCCGACCCGATGTCTGCCCCGTGCCAGTGCGGCCCGATCCGACGCACGTTCCGATACTTCTCTGCTGCCCGATTCGGTGTTGACTGATGCTGCTGAGTCCACCCCTGCCCCCGAGGAGTGGAGTGGAGCGTCCAGGGAGGGAGTGCGAACCGAAGTCCGAAGTCGATTCTTTCCAGGCGAGGTCTACGGAAGTCTCGGCCCACTCCCGGGGAACCAGTTTTTCATCCTGAGTCGTTTTTTACGGTCCCAGGGCCTGGCGATGGCCTCTAGAGGCCGAAAACAGCGAGAATTCTCCGTCTTGTGTTTTTCATCACGTTGGATTTCTGGGTACGGCACCAGACGATTGAGCCAAGTGCGGCAGGCTGAGCTGGAAAGCCCTCGCCATAATTTCCCACGTCGCGGCCCCCAGGGCCCTCGACCCCATACGGTCAACCCGCATAGTAAGGATGAGCGACTTTCCCAGGTACCCCCTTGCATCCTTCCCCTTCGACCCATCCTCGGCCGCTTCCGCTGGCGGCGCCCCGCCCGCAGAGTGCCGACATGGCCTTCAAGGCCGCTGCACCCTTCTCGTGCGTCCTTCTTATACGGGTTGGCCGTGAGCTTTCGGGGGCCTGCGCGGATGTCCTGGGTCGGCGCGGGAGCTCCCGACGGCACTTGGGGCGCCGCCGCTGGCCCGCTCCGCGCGCCAGGGAGGGTGGGGTGCCCGCGCCGAACCGAGAACTCCGCGCGGACCTCCAGAAGTTTGCGCTCGTGCGGAGTGCTCCTCCTCCTGATCGGCGGCGAGCGGGGGGGGGATCGCCTGGGCCGTCTCGGGGTGGACCTGGGGGCTTCCTTCTCGCGCGTCCTTTTTCGACGGGTTGGCTACACTCCCCGGTTCGCTCGCGGGTCGCCGCAGGCCGATCTGGATCTTGCCCCGGTGGCCACGGGGTGCGGGAGCGGCGCGGCTGCCAGAGCCGTCGAGAGATCGTGGGCGCGTGGCGCCCGCCGTGGCCTGCCTTGTTTCGGGGGAACGCTCGAGAAGGAGATCGACCGCAAATGAATTTGCCCAAACCTTGATTCTTTCGTCAAGTCTACGAAACATACGCAGGATAAACGTTGATCTGAAAAAGTCCTACGTTTTCATCGAAGACTCGACGGCAAGTTCAGTGTCGGGATAAATGGATTCTGTAGTCGATCCCCCACTCGACACGTAAGTCTCGAGTTCGCTGGAACTCGGTTTTGCCGACGTTTGTTTGACGAGCACGCCCTGAGTTTTGACGGTTCAGTTATCACGGGATGGTTGAAGAGCTCGCGTCAAATTTCAGATTGGGTCTCGTCATTTTTTTGGCGGCCCCGTCGAGTCACCCCCAGTCCTCCGAACCCGAGTCTTACGGCCTCCCCGAGTTTTCCAGGTGTCCCAGAGGTCCCTAGAGAGTGAGGAGACCCAGGCCTCCCCATGGCCTGGGGAGCCAGGACGGTGCAAGCCAGGACTTTTCCAGATCCAGCTCGATAAACGAATGGAGAATGGTTCTACCCGCACCTGCAGTTTTCTTATGTGGGCCAACTGCCCTGGCTTGTCACAGTCCCAGTTTACGGGGCCGTGCGACCTCCTCGCCTAATGGAAAAACATAGCGGCCGGTTCTTGCCGGGGGCCCTGGCCATCTTGGGCAATGTTGCGCCTTTTGGAGGCCATCTTGAAGCCATCTCGGCCCACAAGCCTCGCAAGGACGCTTCCGAGATGCCCACACTTATTTAAACTGGCACAGTTGTTCCATGGCTTTAGCTTTGGGCGAAACGAGGGGTCTTGATGTCAGGCCCCCCCTCGGAGCCAGAAAAAAAACTCTTGGGGCGCTCTCGGGGTCGTCTCAAAAGCCCGTCGGCAGCGGAAAGTCGAGAAGAACAACATATGTGAGTTTCCGCATGCGTTTGAATAATCTTGGGCTCTCGGAGGCGGCCTTGGGAGGCTCAGGCCACTTGGAGCCGTCTTGTGGCGTTGCCTGGGCCTCTTGTAGGCATGCTGGCGGCTATATGGAGTCATCTGAGGCTATCTTGCACGATACTGGAAGCCATCTTGGGATACTTGAGGCCATCCAGACCCAGAGGAAGGGGTAGGGGGAGGGGCAAACTCTTCCCCGAAGGGACATAATGGGAGTGTAATACTGAACTTGCTGCACCACATACGCCCCGATGGGCTGGTGAGATCGGGGTGCGGCTGGGGGAGGTTCGCTTGTGTAGAGACTGGGAATTCCGCCAGGTTCCGACAACGATTAGCATGGTTGGCGCAGGACGGAGTTCGCGTTACGCTTGAATCATTTGGCCCCACGGCCAGCGAGTCCTGCGGGAGGGATGGGAGCGGTGTTTTTCAAGCCCCTTCCACCGAGCGGCTTCCGAAGTCGAGTCACTGGGAATCAGGCCCCCCGCTGCTGTTGTTAGTAAAGTAGTGGCCGGCCCCAAGCAGTCTCGCGGCGGGCATAGCCCAGGGAGAAGTACAGAATTCGCCCTGGTAGTTTTCTGGACCGAGCTGGCATCACTGCAGAGCTGGTCTGGATTTGCGTGTTGACGCATCACAGTTGCCGCGGGCCGCGGGAAAGGATCATCGATCCCGCCACATCTGGGCCTCAATCTACTCGTGTCGCCCCGTGTCTTTGCCGCTGACCCGCGCTCCTCTGCCCTCGTGCCTCCTTGCCCCAGCGCGCCCCCCCGTCGCTCGACCATCGCCAGTCCACATGCGGCAGCGGGCTAAAACAAAAATGTTTTTTGCCGCTGGACGTGACCCACCTCGAAGTACAAACAGAGGCGTAAACATAGACTTTTGGTAGTCTGAGGGGTGTTCGGGTGTGCGTGCAGTGCCGTGTTCTTCTGCGGGCGCGCAGGAGCAGGGGCGGATCACAGAGAAAAAAGGGAAAGGTGCTGAGGGCAAACGCCATCGCACGTGCAGCGTGTGGAGTTTTGCTAACCTCTGAAATGCATGTTGCAGGAGACGCGTCGCATCCCAACCGTCAACCCCCACGCCGTGGTAGGTAGGCACGGTGTCTGCCAGAGGAGGGCGAGTTGAGACACCGGTAGTTGGCCTTTGGGGGGGGGGGGGGGCCCACGTCGCCACGGCTGGGCGCAGCTCGGGAAAGTGGTGCGTCTGAGACTGGACCCCGGGAGGAGTCTTGGGATCGATTGTGGGTTGCCGACGTCTCAATTCGCCCTGCTCCAATTCGGGGGGGGGGGCAGGACAGCAGGGTGCCAGGGTGCCTCTCGGACAGCAGGGCGCCGGCGTGCCTCTCGGACAGCCCGGCGTCTGGGTGCCTCGTGGGCTTCGGAGTGTCGTGATCGGCCTATCGATGCGCCTCTCGGTCAGAATCTGCTGCTGCCGATCTCCGCAGCTTTCAGCCGAGCGTGCGAGCGCGCGGAGGAGTCAGCGGAGCAAGGAGGGGCTGTGGGGTCGAATGCCATCGGCACCGAGTGCCGAGCGGGGGAGGAGGCGGAGGAAGAAGAGTGAGAATAGGGGGAGGTGGAGGAGTAGGAGGGGAAAACAGCAGAGAGGAAGGGGGAACAGGGAGGAGGAGGAGGAGGAGGAGGAGGAGGAGGAGGAGGAGGAGGAGGAGGAGGAGGAGGAAGAGGAAGAGGAAGAGGAAGAGAAGGCATGGGCAGAAAGGGAGCAGGTGGCAGAGGAGGCTGGAGGAGCACGAGCAGCAGCAGCGGCAGCAGGAGGTGGTAGAGGAGGAGGGTCACTGCCCGTAGAGGGAAGAGGTCCAGGGGGATAGAGGAAAATGTTGGTGGGGTCGCCCATCGCGCCCCCAGGGGCTCAGAATCGGTGGATGTGGAACGATCTGGCGATCGTGAAGCCGCCGATCGTTCGAGGTTGAACGGTCCACGCGGCGTCAGAAACCAACGCCGGGGTCGTCATGACGCGAACCTGCCGTGAGGGCCACGCCTTTTCTCCTCACCCCCTCTAGCGGGATGCGGAGTTGCTGCCCCGCCGACATCGGGACGGCCCCCTTCCACTCCTCCATCCCCGGGCTGCTACAGACCCAGCAGCCTGCCCAGCGATTTTGGTTTTTCTCCAGGAGCTTGGGCAAGCAGCCCCAGGCAGTGAGTTCCTTCCAGGACTCGAGGCCCTCAGACAAAGAACTGCGGCCCGTGAGGCTGCGTGAGGTTCATGTTTGGTGATTTTCCTTCGGGGGGCATCATGATAAAACCCCCCGCCCTGATGGCCTCTACCTCCCAGATCCCCGAAGGCATGATGTTTTCAGCCAGCAGTGGTTCCTCGATCCGATCTGGGCCTGCAGAGCCCGTTATCGGGCCCCTGGGCCATCAACAATGTACCAGTGGTGAAAGACTGCTTCCAGGAAGGGGTCGGGACATCTTGGGGCGCGCATTGAAAAAAACATGATCGTCGGATGTCAGGGCCAGGTTTCGTTTCGATTCCAACGATCCGGATCGGCCCCGTCCTCATCGAACTTGAAACGCTAGCTACTGTCTCGAGTTCCCTTGTCGATCCGATTTTCTTCGGCATGGCTTGTCACCGATCCGGCTTCCGATTCAGGAGAGGCATCTACCTCTCAATGAAGAGCGGGAAGCCCCTGTTCCTGAACGGCGGCCAGACGACGACCGACAGCACAAACACCTACCACTCAAATCTTTGACATGGCAGGGTCACCAACACGAGCGTTCACCATTCCCACCAAGGGCCGCGATCTCACTCAAGCGAATTACCATCCGACGCTCAATCACTGAGCGAATACCTCCAACAAGTTATCATCGACGCCGCTGCAGTCAGCAGCGCAAGGGGGCCAGAAGCAAACCGAGAACCAGGCAGCGGAGCAGAGCGATTGCACTATTCATAGCACGCCGACGCCGAACCACCAACGACGACCACCAAACCCGCAGCTGAGCAAGTTCATGCAGCAGGAGATCCGCGCGCAGAAGCGAAGAACTCGAAGAACCCAGATAGGAAACGAACTCGAGCAGCTCATAGACCTGAAAAGCATCGCGTGCGTCAAGACACAGAAAGCGGATCCCCATTTACCCACATGACATACCAACATGGTTTCGAACGCACGACGCGACAAGACATTGCATACGTTTGTTCGCAGACTTACTCGAACATCTTCCCAGCCCAACTGCAGAAACGGCAAACGTAAGCAGTTGGCATTTCACAATTCGACGGGCCGCGAAACAAGGCGACCCGCTCAACTCCCCACTCATTGACCCTCTACAGCAGCGGGAGCTTGCTCTCGAAGCCCAGTGTCAGCTGCAGGCTGCGGGCAACCTCCCCATGCCGCGTGCCCGGCACGGGCCAGAGGCGCGTTCGGAAGGGTCAACAACGGAAACAGTTCCGCACCAGAGTTCGGGGCCCGCTCGCGCTCCCGTGCCGCACCGCCCCATCGTGTCCCTGCCCCAGCTGTGTGGACAGGAAGCGCCAGGGCCTGGGGAGAGGAAAACCCAGGTAGCCGTACCATTCAGCCTCGCCCTTACGAGGAATTGCACCAACAAGGGGAGAAGCGAGGAGTGTCTCACCTCCACCTCCCAAAATATGTCAAATAAGCATTAGCAGCAACCTGCCCAGCATTCCTAGCCCCACCTTCAAGGCGAGCGGCGCTAGCACGACCAAACGCGCACCTACCCCACGTGGTGTTATGAGCGCAGCCGTTGGCGATCCTCTACGTGCCCTTCTACGCGACCTCATGGGTGCCACAAGTGTTTGTACAAGCGTGGCGGACAACAGTCGAGCTTCACACCGGACAACAGTCGACACTGTGAAGGCAGCAGGGCTTGTTCCCGAAAAAGATGGAAGTGGAGAACAGGCCTCAACGATGTTTGCAATGGAAGAGGCGGCAAGAGAATGTGGTGCAAGAGGGCACGCTTCAAAAAACACGGTTGTATGCGCCCTTGTGGCCAGCAAATATTCTTTACAGATGAGAGAAGAGGCAACGACGGCGACGACGATGACGAGGAGGAGGGAGGCACATTTTGCTGGCCAGACACGCCTGATGTTGGCCCACAGGGCGCCAGATGGCACCGGTGGACAGGTAAATACATTTCAGCAAAATGCTACAATGCGAAGCCCCCTGTAGCCGCGAGCCTCGCGACCTTGAAAGCCCGTGGAAACTCCCACAGGCACTGCCCGCACGGCGCTGGTGGCCGCGGGGCTGTGAGATTACTGGCTGCTGTTAAGTGCGAATGTTCCCGCAGCACGTGTTGATGGCGTTCCTTGTGGGGCCAAGTAGGGGTGATCTCTTCCCAGCGCCCTCTACAGCACATACTTGCCCTGTTGGCCGCCGACTGGCAGAAGATGGAGAAGGCAGTCCACTTCTGGTTTACCACACGCGACTACGCCGACGACAAGCTCCTGCGCAGCTCGACGTCGTACGCGCAGGATGGCCCACGTATTCAAGCTGCACCCTGGCAAGACCAAACTCATCAGCAACAAGACGAAACGGACTGGAAGAGTGAGCTCGCACAGCACGCGTCCAAGGACTGAACATCGACAGTCTTCGAACAGCTGCGAGGGCGCCGTTCAGGTCGCACAGGCAACAGCTGACCAGCAGACACTGCCCACTGGCACACCGACCCCTTCTCTTCAACATCATAATCATACCGACAGGACTCCTACGAAGCAAAGCAAGTCTGTCACGGAGTCCTTCTGGCAGCAGTTGCAGGGGACACAGCGACGCATGCTTCGCATGATATCAGGACGTCTCGACGGCGTACCGTGCACCAGGCAGCCCCCCGCATTAGCCAGGAAAGCCAGGGTGCCGACGGCACGAGCGCAGAAGCAAGGGACATCGACCCCTGCGCCAACAGCACTAGCGACGGCGCGGACAGAGGCCCGCTCCGGCACGACGCCACCGCGGCGGCAGGCCGGCTCATCGAACACGACGACGACACCGCAAATGTAGATGTGAAGCCTCGGGTGGATTACACTGACCTTGCGACGCGGCGCTCAGAGCATCTCATGAGGCATCGCTGGATCGTCATCTGGGCAGCGAGGGACAAACGGGAGACATGGCGCATGGTCTTCAGGGTTCCAACCACGAGCGCTCACGGTGGACGTGGAGAGCAAATTCAGTGGCAATCAGTGGCAAATTCAGCTGCGACGACGACGTGTTCGCATACCTTCAACGCCACAGATCCGATCTACGCGCCCACACCTACCTCTGCGAAGGGCCAACCGACCGTCCTTTCTGGGGGTCGCACGGCCTAAGACAAGCTTTCCTCGTTAACCCTCGAACGCCTGTGCACCGACACCCGTGCACTTTGAATGCACGTCGACGTTGGCAGTTAGGATTTCATCCTCTTCCCCTCCGTCATGACCTTCGTAGTTGTCCCGTGGTCCCACTGCATGTTTGTGTTTAGTCACTGAGGCTATGGCCTCACTCGCCTGGTCTTCGACGCGCCCGGGCGGCTGTTCGCAGTGGTGGTCGTTCGTTTGTTCGTTCGTTCGTCCTCCTCCCTCCCTCTTGTCTTCCTCCTGCCTCACCAGCGCCGCCTCTGGCGCGCTCCGCGCGCTGGTGAGAAGGGTCCACCGCTCAACCGAGAGATCCGCGCGGAACTCCAAACATTTGTGTTCATACAGTTTTTTCGTCTAGGCCATCCACTCT